TTCCTACCTGGCGCGGATTTCCCCTAAATCCGCGAATCCTCCGGGCAGACCGGACTGAGGCGGAAATTTTTGCCCCAGGTGCTTCTAGGTATATATAGTTCGTTATTTAGTTGTATTTTTTCGGTGGGTTGGATGGACTTGGGTATCCTTTCGAAGGATTTGGATGGTTTTTGGCTTCGCTGCCCCCATTGCAGATTCTGTGCCACTTGATGACTCCTAGGTTGGATTGGACTCAGAAGCCTGACAGTGCAGCCGCTTTGGTTGCATCCCGCATTGGGTAGACAGCTGTCGAAGGTGGGTGTACCACTCAAGCACACTTTGGTTCACTTGAAATTTTTTTCTTACCAGCTCATAGACCTGTAGCCTTTGAACCTGGGGCCCTTGAAGGCTTGCTTGTAAATGCTCGTTTTGCGGCGCAGCCCTGGCAGCTTTCAGGTGTCTTCGCCGCTCCGCCGGCCCCGCATGCGTGAGCCTTACTTGAGATTGACAAGTTCTAGGAGCTACGGCCTCCAACCAGCGATGGCCTCGATCCTAAGAGCGATGGCCTCCAACCTACCTCTCTATGCTTTGAAAAGAGGTGAGACCATTCTGCACATGTCACAAGTGTGGAGTGACAGCGCTCCATTGGATAGAAATTCTTTGAATTCTGGAGGTTGGATGAAACAGAAGCCAGCCATTTGCCTTTGCCGACGAGTCCAGCCATTTGGCAGAACAGACCCTGGTGGTGTCAGGGGCGAGTCGTCAGTATACATGTATATTAGGCGCTCCAGTGAAGAACTTGGGGAACTCCCACATTTGGGGACATTTCAACATCAACTATTTGCAATTGAATTTAGCAAAATGGACTGAAACCAATGTGTTTTGGAATGCGTACGGGGCCTGAGAGAAACTGGGAGAACAGCTGACGACACTCAATAATATCACATGAAATCATGCAACTCTCCACAAGAAACATATGTCATATGTAACTATTTAAGGCCTCAAAGTATAGGAAACCAATTATAAGTTCGTGGCATCATCTTACTTTCAGCAACTCACATCTTTTGCCTCCCACCTACCCGCCGCGTGCACGTTCCACCAGGGACTCCCGGAGCACGCGGAAGAGCACCCGCACGTTCAGGCGGGAGCCGCCGTGGGGACTGGGGAGAAGAGGACCTAAGATCAGAGGGGAGCCAAGGAAGCAGCAACTGTGGTCAGACTTCAGTAGATCAATCAAGAGCTCTAGTTATATAAGTGGATCTCTGGGGTCTTTCAACTTCAGATATCATGTTATGGTGACATAGCCCCAAAACCAATCTAGTTAATCACTGCGGCATTCCGCATTCCCATAACACTTGTTTTCGAACACACCAATAACAATCAAATACAATCAATATTATGCAACTGCGGCGTTGCTTTCAGCATGTCTTTGTCCTAAACACCAATCATTTTAAATCAACTCTTACATTAAAGAATCCTCCATCCCCCCATCCCGTTCACCATATTTGTTCTGCCTGCTAAACGGTCTTCTTTTTTCAGGCTCCCTCGCCCACGAGCACGAGCCCGTCCCGCAGATCGCCTGCCTCGAGCCCGACGTGAGGGGCGCCCGTCCCGCGGGGCCGACCGGAGTGGAGTCGACCTCGTGAAATCACGAGTGAACAGACCGGCGATTTCATGACCTCTATGAGATGAAATTCTACGTAGCTGACGTCGTCAGTGTGTTGTTTTTGTTGTTTTCGGCCCGCGTTCGCGGAACTCTGCGAGTGTTCAGCATCAGAAAGGGGAGTGGAAACCCCAGGCTTTGGACGCATGTTGAAAGGCTGTCATACTCGGAGCAAGCAAGGAACATGTTTGGAATTTGTGGTGAATACTTTTATATACAGTGAATCCATGGAGTAGCTACGACGGCACATGTGGGCGAATGGTCTTTTTGAGCTGGACTTGTTTCGTGGACAGGAATGTTTTTTGCCGTTCAAGAGTGAGTGCGATGAGGTTTGGTGTGGCCAACTTCACTGCGAAGTTGAAGCAGTCCGGCAACCCAGCCTTTGATACTTCGGCGATTCCCTTCACTTTCCTGATATTCGTTGTTCATCCCTTAAAGACAAGTGTTTAACACGACTTTGCTCTATCTTCTACCGGCAGTGTAGGCCGGTGAAGGTATGACTCTGGAAGCCCTTCACTTTCGAGCCGCGTGATCGAAAGTAATGCGAACTCGGTTCACCCCAGAAATACGGGAATTCCAAGGGGAAGTTTTTCCTCATGTCCATCCCAAAGATTCCGTCCTCATCAATTGACGCATACCGGTCGAATGGTACCGTTGGACGGGCTCTTTTCTGAGGTTTACCTTTGGTTTGCCACTCTCCGCGTGAGTAAAAGGTCTGCAGCTCTCCTGCGTCCAAAGCGCCGGCGCCAGACATGCGGAAGAAGTGGAAAAGGGAAGGCTTGGAGTTGGCGGAATACGTTGCATCCCACTTAATGTAGAGACTTGATCCATTTGGATTGAAAAGCCTCGTCATATGAGGAGGTTTATTTATATAATCAAGAGTCTACATTTATTACATAATATGTATTGACCCTTTTGATGCATGCCCTTAAGCTGAAGCCAGTCCGACAGTCCGAGAGGACGTTCTACAACCTCAAGCACCTTGAACATAATTTAAGATGTATACGTTGTATATGAACAAGACTGTGGGGTCTTTCTGGTTCCTGCTTGAGTGTCAATGGGCTACCCTTGGACGCTCCAAGCCATAGACATGCCTTTGAAACACTCACTGTGTCCGACTGGTGTGTCTAACAAATGTTGCTTTTACCAAACAGGTTCTAAGATTCTACCAAATAAATGTAAACCATTGTTGAGAGCACCCTGAATGCCAGGGTCATTTGGTAGCGTCCTTGCTCCTAGTAGTAAGGGCAGGAGCCCCTAGTAGCTTCTTTGCTCCTAGTGGTAAGTCCAGGAGCCCCTAGTAGCGTCCTTGCTGCTCCAAATAAACCAAGTAGGTAGGATCGCACTAGACGGGATCCGTCTCGGCTGTGCGACTAGCACTTTGATGTTTAGTGTGATCGTTTGACAACTTGATGAAACATGTATGTTTTGGCGTGCCTTTGGCCGTTGAGTTCTCAGAGAAATGGCATGCAAGGAGAAGAAAAAGGGCATTCCTTTTGACAAATGCCAAAGTGCTGAGCTGGCTTTCTGCAGGTTCTTCCACCTGTTGGAGAACATTGATCATGACGTCAATTAAAACATGAATTGTAGGTCATAGGGCCCACTGTCAGCCTTGACGGCTCATCCGTTTTCAGTGTTCCAAACTCAATGGTCAGTTTGATTTGCAAGTGGACACATCCTGAAAATGTCCTCCTGAGAAGATAGTTGGACCCTCCAAACCCTGAAACACCCGCCACAGGTGATTTGCCATTGGGTCAACACTTGGAACCCCCAAAAGTATAGTAGTTATAATAAAATCTTTCATTGGATTCTGGCCTTACCATATGAAAGAATCTTTTAAGTATAGTAATGATACTTTGACCTTTTTCGGCAGGATCGTCACATGCCTCTTCATGTGAGCTTCAGAACGTAACTTGTGTAACTCGGCACGTCGCTCCGGGGGTCCGCCCCCCCGGCGCAATGCCGGGCCTCAAGAGCTTTGCGGCTAAGCCGGGGGCTCTTGCGAGCGGAACCACCTTGCTGAAGGACTGGGGAGAAAACATTCATTTGCTCAATCCTGCGAATCAGTCATGTGCAGACATCCCAGCCGGGGAGACATCCCAGCCAATGGATTTTGGACTAGTTCACTCTGGAAGCAGAGGGCTTGATGGGGGGTCTTTCGATACACACATATCCATGTATCATCATGTTTTTGAGCAACATTTGATCGCCGGTCAACTGGGTGGCAACTTGGAGGATCATTGCGAATCATCCTGTGTTCAGTCTTTAGAACATAGACTCAGGTCTAGTGACCCAAGTTGGAACACTTCTCAAAGACCGCTCACTCGCAGGCTTTTCGAAGGCTTTGGGAGCTCCTGGTGGAAATTGCACATGTGTTTAATTCCAAAAGTGAAGACATCAATGATTGAATGCAGCATAATTAGCATTTATTGAATCAATATCAAATACAGAATCGCCTTTAACAAGCCCAAAGTCACGGCATGTGGGAGGATCCTGCTAAAGCATGCTAAAGCTAATTGAATTCTGTATCAACCACTTTTTCTGAGCGTCTGACCCTTCCATTATCCATTCAGAATTCTCAAAGAATTCGGCGAGCGAAAACACTTCGTGAGCTCCAACGAAAGAGGACCTCGTGAGCTCCAAGGTGGCGCTACGTGTGGATCCCTGTTTGGTTCGGATTGTAGTGGTGGGCCCCAGGTATCCAGGTGGCTGTGAATTCAGCACGCAGTTCTGGGCAGTTGATTGGGTGGTATGTGGAGAAACGAAAACAGCTGAATTGGTGTGTTGTTTTGCTGTCCATTCGTCAGATGTAGAGGGCACAGAACCCCTCAGGTAGCTGGGCGGCAAATGGCCGTTCGTCAGATGGTAGATTGTCGAACGAACAGGTGGTTGACAACTTAGAAGATCCCTATGGATCCACATACCTTCTCAGAAGGTAATTGGAGACTATTTATATAGGCTTATGTGGATCCATAGGAGATATGTTTCGATCAAACAGCATGTTACTTGCCTTGCTTGTACGAAGAAGATGATGATATACCTCCCCCGCCTCTAACCGCGCCACTTATCCCAGCTTCGCTGCTTTGTCACCGATACGGTTGACATGCTTCCACTTCACCCCAAGGTACCCTGTCTTGGTTTGCGCCAGAGATCCATTAAAAGCCCGCTCAGAACCATCCAATGGTGCTATGAGTGCTACAATCTGCTGATACAGAATCCAACCATGTTCTTTTCACCTTTATATATACCCTACCTTCTTTCATTCAGGCACAAACTGCTGACTCACCCCCTTCAATTTCTTTGCAGCTAGCTAGGGCGCCCCTCGTGAAATCAGGGACAATATTCCTTGAATTTGAATGAATTTTGATGAAAACCTGGGAGGAAATATGTGCGCCACGGTGCCAAGCAGGGAAAATCCAGGCGGGGGAGAGCAGCTCTGATCCTTCAGCTTTAGAATCAGAAACACACTCCGACTCCGTGGCCCACCATGCCTTGACCTCGGAGCCATGCCCAAATGCCTCAACTGGGGCCCCGACTCCGTGGCCTTGACCACCAACTGCTGCGGCGTCGCCTGCTGGCTGGGCGCCGCGCGCCTCGACGCGCTACGGCCCAGCAACCTGCCAACCGTCAGCGACGCAGCGAAGCGAGAGGACCAGGACGAGCGAAAGACGAAGGACGGGGGCGAGCGAAGTCGACACGACACGAGTGCTGGATGCAAAAAGAAGTCTCTGTTCGAAACATGTCGAAGACCATGTTTGGTTGGGTATAGTATAGTTATTGTGTTTTCCGCACAAGGCTTTGGTCTGTTGCACACCGTTGGCCCTGTCCAGACATGGTTTCTGGTGCTCGCCTACGATGGCACCGACTTCGCCGGATGGCAGCGGCAGGCGGAGGCCGAAGCGCTGTCGGTCGGTCGAACGCGGGACCTCGGCAGGTGTGTTTTTGGCCCCCGAAACGAAGAAAACAATTGGGACATAACTTTTCAATGTGGATACATATAATATATCACTTTTCAGAGAAAACACTCAAAAGTAGGGATCAACAGGGACAACAACAACTCTTTCGGTCTTGTTCTTTAATTGTTTGATATTTGTTGCATGTTTATCCCGGCCCACGTGTGTGGTTTTTGGGATACATATTGTTTGGGTTTAACCTATATTCCAGGCTGGTTGGAGGTTACCTCATTTCAAGAGAACAGGAAACAGAACAACCTTAAAGAGATGTACTTGTTGAATTTTTGTGAGACATTTGATATAAACACACCAATCTCAAGCTAGTTCAGGTTGATTTGGGTATCCTTTGGGTCTTCAACTGTGACGGTTGTGCTGATGGGCGGAACTTCTCTATTCTTTCTTCGCATCTCCACGTACCTGATGGGTGTTGCTCTACTTACTGGCGGGGCCCCATGGGTTTACACCGGTACCACCTGGAAAGAGTGTCACTGGGCTTTCTGAAGGTCGCCAGCATTTGGCCAAACCTTTGAAGCTGTTTTCCTCTGGACTTGAACAATATGTTGATATCGATCTTTTTAACATGTGATCCATGAAAGACTGGATATGAGAAATCTATGATTGGGTCGGCCCGCTCGGTTGCCTTGCCATGGTTCGACTAGGGCTTCCGTCCGCAAGCTAAACATTAATGCTTGAATTCCCAGGTTAACGAAGGTCGCCCATGTTGGCCTCCCCCCCAACCAACAGGATTTTTGATGAACGGGTTCATCACTCGACCAGGGGCTGAAGCAACCAAAAGTGTGTCTCTCCAGCCATCCAAAGCTTCCCAGGGCGTGCGAACGCTGCAACCTGGCGTCAGCAGAAGTGAGTTTGAGGCATAACCAAGTAGAAGCTTGCAAACCTGCGGTTTCTTCATTACATGGTGACTGTCCAAATCTTTGATGCACAAATCACCCATCAACAGAGTGACCAGAGAGTAGATTCTTCAAGTCCTAAGGTGAGCCTATTGCATATGATGCAATTCTTTCTTGTGGGTAGAGGTGCCATCATTTGCACTTGTCCTCTACCATCTGAGCTTGCGAGGACCACTGTATAGACCTTTTTAAGAGTGGCAGGTGTTTCTGTGCCCGGCACCCCGGTCCTCTTTCTCCGAGACCACCCCGGTTGATTCCCGAAGAACCGATTCCTCTATAGGGGATGTCAACCGAAACCATGGTTCGAGATTCCTCTGTTGGAGAGATGCCATGACCCACAGCCGGCCACGTAGATCGCACCGCGGATGCGAACGAGGGTCCGAACGGGTCGGCGCATCCACCGTGGGTGGGACTGGTGGAACGGCGAATCGCCGGAACCGCTCCTCCTGCGCAGAGAGTGGATGTTTCGAGTGGTTCAGGCATAGAAGGGCTCTTGCAGATCCCTAGATATCCCTAGTATGTCTTTTCTCCTTTCTAAGGATTAGCGGATATTAAATGGTGGTTTGGTGGAGTTTTTAGTTCGGACATGTGGGGTACCGCTGTTGACCGCCGTTGGAAGCAACCCACGATGAGCTCATGGTGCTTGGGAGGGTGGGGAAAGAGAAAGGGTGGCAAGAACAACCCTGGTGAAATACGGTCCCGTTGAGGCTGTCGACCCAGACTTTGCATGGTCAAAAGGGACCTCTGACCTGAGTTCAGTGTTGTTGAACCGCAAATGGCAGATGAGTTTGCCTCCAAATCAGGGGTCCCCTCGTTTACCCCGTCTTCATAAAACTTATTCTTATTTCCCATGGCTTCAAACGACATTCCATCCCCAAACCGTCCCTTCCTTCAGGATCTTCAAAAACTCTCGCTGATCAACCGATCCAAGGCATTAACAAAAACACGTCTCACGTCCCATTTCCGTCCCTTCAGTGAGGCCTCTTCAACAAACAGCATTCATAAACTTATCGCCTATTTTTTCACCCTCACCCGTTAGTTTGCGTCCATTCCAAACAATAACTCCTCTCGTCCAGCACCTCCGTTTTTCTCCTCTCCTTTGTCCAGCTCTGAGGCAAGGAGATTGTTACTACTGCTCGTAGCTTCTTGCTACTAGTAATGCCAGGAGCTATAGCAATGAATAGCGTCCGATCGTTCCGATGTTCGTAGCGATGCGCTGCCCTAGCTCAGCGCTCGGCCCAGCGCTCCTCTGAGGCAAGGAGAGCTTGAAAAGGCCCTGGCGTTGATCTTCCGCTTCCCCGTGAAGACGCTGGGTGCCTCGCGGACCGATGCCGGGGTCCACGCCCACGGCCTCCCGGACGATGGTCGGACGATGCGGCGTCACGGTGCGACGTGCTGTTACGACCGGTGACACGAGTCCCTTTTGGAAGCTTCTAACTACCAGTAGCTTCTTGTGCCTAGTAGCAAAAGGAGCCTAATAGGAATGGCCTCCACCCTAATAGCCATGGCCTCCACCTAGTAGCTTCTAGCTACTAGTAGCTTCTTGTTTCTAGTAGCGATGGCCTCCACCTAATAGCGTCCTTGATGCTTTTGTGTGTATATTTGTGTGCGGGGGATTCCGGCCGGATGATTTTCTTGAGTTTGCTTGTTGCCTCGCCGGATTTTGCTTGACAACACACATCTCGTTTGCAACATGAAGTGCTCACAGACATTGGATGTTCTATGATGTTCTACAAGAAAAGGCAACATGCCAACTCAGAATGGGAGGAGGGTAAGATTCTAGTCTGACATGGTGAAAGTGATTCAGATTCATCTTTTCGGGCTCGTGAGTTGGGATTTTTGTTTGCCTGTGCATCAAGAGTGAGTAAGTCTGCTTACCTTTGAAACGAAGACGAGTGGACCAATAACTGCACCACCCCGTGATGTGCTGGGAAACTGGCAAAACGATGAGTATCAGATGTATAAGACAACATGTAAGACAACATCTATCCGCAAATATCCGCAACATTTGAGTGAAACTTTGTTTAGCTGTACAACCTAAGAGCAAACAGCCTCCAATCTAAGATTGTCGAAAAGTAACTCATGAGGCTTAGCATTCTTTTCCGTATTTCTAGCATTCTTGTTTTGGGGGGCTTCACGGTGTCGTTGTATTACGGGGAGCACATGTCACATGACTCTCGAAGCACACCAATCTGGGTTGGAGTTCACCAACAAATCGTCGGAACAGATGGAGTGAGTTTTTGCACTGTAATTATACTAGCGTTGGCAGAAGCAATGTCCAATGCAATTCTAGAGGGATTTATTATTTTGATATATTTTGATAGTTGATATAATTTGCACGTTTTCTTAGTTATGTGGTGAGTCCTCAAATCAGATGTCAGTAACTAACCATATGACACCAAGATGTCCACAGTCCTTCCATGTGGCAGGCTTCCAGCTACCTGCAGGTAGCTCAACACAAGATCATGGGTATGGTGGAAAAAACAACAACGTTTAGTGCCATCCGGCCACACCAGTGTAAAGGTGTCTAAAAACATTCTACCACTGGCCGGCTCCAAGCATGTTTCATCTCCAAAGAAGAATCTCGCCACCAAAGCAACGAAGAAATCCTTTCCCCCGAAAGCAGAAGACCAACGGATGTGCAAGGCCAGGTGTGCCACTTTGAATCCCCAGAGTCGCTTGGCAGAAGTGGAGGGCGAGTGTCGACCAGCTGAAGCCATCTCTAGATCCATATCGGAGTTGATCCATAGGGGAGTGTCAGCGGCTTTATTGCAATTCCGAAAGTAATACTGCTGTTCAAGCACCGTACATGCCAAGCTACTGAAGCGAGCTTTGTGCAACTGCCTAGCATCGCGAAGCATCACGCAACATTACCAGCCGCGGCGCGTGAACAATCTCAGATGGCGTGTTCAGTTTGGTCCTAACCACTCCATTCGGAATGCGCGTTTGCAGAGTCTGATTGTTCGCTGGGTTTGGCAAGCGAGAGAGTGGATCACCTGAGTAGACCACCAAAGCTACTTCTTCAATCTTCAGAATGTATTTCAGTACGTATGTAAAATGATGTGAACATGTCCTTCCGTTTTGGACCTGTTTGCACCTATTCTTCTCAATCATTTTTCCCCATCCGATGAAGGTACTGGGACTCCGATGCCTCCGACGATGTACTGCTGAAGCGGCTCCGTTTGACCCTGCCTGCAGCACTGCTCGCGCGACGGATCGGCCGAGCGCCGGAAGGTGACGTGGTGAAGCACTGGACGGGTGCGACGAAAGCAGGGTGGCTGAGGGTGGCGGGATCCATTTCGGAATCTGCTTTCGTCGCAGCAGTCAGATCAGGGTGAACCGCTTGGAAATCGTTTTTTTTCCCGAATGTGTAGCGAAGGGTTCTCGTTTAACTCTGGGGGTCGAGTCGGGTAGAGCCTGAATTTGTTCTGTGTCCTGCAGATGTTTTCATGTTGTTCTGATGGGTTTTGATGATTTGGCTTTTTGGAGACAATTGTTCTCCCTGGGGCACGTTTTCACCGTTTTCTTGCTGAAGAAAGTAACGTTCACTGGTATTCCCATGCCGCTGCTCGACCGGATCCTGCTCGACCGGCTCGACTCGCAGCACGTAAGACTTCAAACCATTCAGCCGAAGATCGCCAAAGACCAGTTGCATTGACGGATGAACAGATTACAAACTTTGCTGATTGACTTTGAGAATTTGTACGTTTCGCCTTGACTCGTGGAGACAGGAGAAGGAGCAGCAAATACCACATTTTCAGCACTGTGCCAAGTTACTGGGACACATCCTTGGGAGTACAACCCAGTCGGCAACAGGTTTCATTCGGTCACTTAAAAAACTCCAAAGAGGTCGATCCTGGTACTGGCGCCGGTCTCGTCCAATGAAAACTGCCGCGAGACGCGGTCGGAGACGCGGTCGTTTGTTTGAGGCTTTCATGCCCGCTTGAGCTCATGCAGGAGATGGAGGGCTTAGGGATGTATGGAGACCAAAGAGAGAGCAACCAGTCGAAGAATTGGTTGAAGCAAACATCTACAGAAAGCCCATGTTTTTCACCCCCCAATACCTTGCTTGTCCTGCAGATGTTCCCTTCCACCAATTCTGGGAACCAGACCTCTCAGCTCCCAAGGACCTCAGCTGGTTACGTTTTGGTGTTTGGGATGGGTGACAGGATGGCTATCCAGTAGGTGAACAGGAGTTGGAGCTTGGAGATGAATCAATTTGCCTGTCATGACCTCCAAAATATCTGAGACTTTTGGGTTTTTTCTTGATCTTTCTTCGCAACTCAGCCATGCTGCATGTCACAAGACTCTCGGCAAAGGATGGTTTATATAATACATTTTAATACTATTTAGATCCCCCACGGGCTCTGGAAACCCAACCCCTTGTGGCGAGAAGCACTGTGCCTCTGAAATGGAAGACCAGCGTGCAGGAAGACCTATTCCTATCGTCTCTCCACCAGCCTGGAGCTCTTCCCCTTCGAGGCCCGACGCTGCTGGGCCTGTGGCGCCTTGAACTTGGCGAAGCTCCAAGAAGGGCTGCGGACCTTGGACGGACGTCCACTGGACTGGACTGCCTTCAGCATGGGCGACTATGAGCCAGAGTACCATGGGCCGGTGCCGCGGATGCGGATGGGAGAAGGGCGATCAACGAAGAGCACGAGGCTGCTGCGGATGGTCTAAGACTGGATCCAGTCTAGCGAACCAGTGGTTCCCTACGTGTACTATTAAAAACTGGATCCATTTGAGTTTCGCTATGTTTCGCTCCTTGTCATGGTTCAAGACACTACTGGCTCAGTTGTTGTTGAGGGGAGCTTGTGACTAGCTCACCAGCGGCGAAGTTCGAGATCGAGGGGCAAATTGGAAAGTCCTTTGGTGGGTTCCCCCGTCCATTCGTGCACTGAAGGATGCCTTTTTTCTCTTAGGTTTTAGGCTATAGGCCATCGCTATTAGGTTGGAGGCCATCGCCATTTTGTTGGAGGCCATCGCTTTTAGGTTGGAGGCCATTGCTATTAGGTACTTCAAAGTGTGCTTTCTATATTGGGATGTTTGATGATTTTTGCATAACTTGCACACTAGACTAGACTTTTGAAAAGTAATCAGATGGTCTATTCCATCCCAAATTGGCTTCCCCAGAGCAAGCAGTCCTTACTAGCTAAAGCTTTGACCATTCCAATAATATTGTATAATATTGTATATATAGGACCAATGAGTCTTTTGAATTGGACTGATTTGTTTGTTGTTGATTTTGATTCGATCAATTTTTGACGCACAGTTGAAGTTGAACCTCATTTAGGGGAGCATCCAAGGTGGTGAAGACGGTCCAGCTGCTCTTGAAGGTGACGACCCGTACGACCCGTACGACCCGTGCTGCGTGGCGCGATGATCGGTGAGCCGGTCGGACCTGGTTCTGAACATACCGGAAGCTCCCACCCCGCGTGCATTGCATGTACGGAAGTTCCTGTGTGTGTGCTCAAGTGCCAGGTGGCAGGTCAGCATATTGCCCTTATTTTCTTTGCCCTGCAAGCCACACATATTCTATAAGTTACACATATAGTTGATTGTGGGATATTGTGGGGTAAGTTTATTTTCTCGGGGGCAACAGGGGTTGTATCCTAAGATATCCTAGCCTATAAGTATACGATATCAATACATTTTTACAACCCAATCTTTTCCACCTCCAAAACCTCGCTTTGGCCACCGATTGGTAGAGGTCCCTTTGGGGACTCAATCTGTGTATCAACTTGATCCCGTGTACTGGGTTTATTCCATTTTTATTCCATCTTATTCCCCAAAAAATTGCTGAGCTGGCAAATTCACCCACATTGATGCCCAATGTGTCTTTTCTAGAGGTGGAAGCTCCTGACCGGCTGGTTCTTTATGCCACCGGGCAAGCATTCCGCGCAGTCTTGGAATATTTTCAGTTTCAGGACAGCAGGAAGCAATGAGATGTTCGGCAGACATTCAGGCCAGGTCAGGACTTCTCCGATCGGAATTGTAGAAGGTCGCATCTATTGGTATTGACATCCAGCTCGGATCTATAGTTCGAACATGTTCGAACCGGGTGGAGTGCGAAACCGGAGGATGCGAACCGGAGTTGAAGGATGGGTGAAACAGACCAAGGTGAGAAGGGGTAGGCAAGCCTCAAATCAATTGTGGGTGGTTCACATCAAGATTCATCAAATCACATTTGCAAAAATGGCTAATGTACCCAGACACGACTAATGGGACTACCATAGGACTGCCGCCCCCATTGATCCCCTTTCAACCACCCCTGGCCTGATCCGCAGTCCTGTGGCAGTCCCATGGAGTGTCTGGGATATTATATATATATATATATAATAATATAGGTCTACAATTCCCACATCCGATAGCTGGCTTGGAACTGGCTTTGTGCTCCGCGAGTCCCGCTGGCGCTCCGCAGCGAGTGTGTAAGAGAGAAGGAAGTTGGGAGTCCCGAGTTCAGCTCAGAAAGCAGATGTGATAAATCCGTTCCGCAACATCAACACATTTGGCGATGTGGAGATCAAGTGAGAGCCCCCACAAGATGTCCATCTTCTAGACATGCAAGCACTGAAGAACAAAAACGTGTTTATTCCTTTTGCCATCTTTTGCCTATATACTAATATATGATTATGTGAGAGGTTCTTTTCACGGCCATTTGGCCCGATGCACGGCCGCCCGATGCCCCCCGTCGTTCTCGCTCAGGCCACCGGCTAACGCTTCTTGTACAAGATGGTCCGCCGTATCGTTGGAGCCCTTGTGGAGGCGTGTGGTTAACTCCGGGGAACTCCCGTTCTCCGCGCGGATCCGCACGGGCTTGGTTTGATCGTATGTATTTGTTGGTCAAATGGTCTAGGTAGTCTGTGGATGAGAGGACGGGTGCCTGTAATCCCGTTCACTCAGCCTTCAGCCTTCCGAATCGGATGCTGTGGAGCTCGCTCTCCGGACTCGGACGACGCAGGTGGGCAAGGGCCGCTTGTGTCCCGAAGGCCTGGTGGAGGCGGATCGAAGGGAGATCCCCACGGCACCGCCACAGGGCTTGACCTTGGAGGAGGTGCTGCAGCTCGGAAGAGGAGCGAGGACCTTGCGCCCGTTCGTTGTAAACACATATTATATACTGCATTGCATGATACTGCATGGATATATAGTCATATAATCATACAGTATATTGGAGGATGTATAGATCTACATGAATTATACCGACCTCAGCGACCTCACCTGAAAATAACGACCCACTTTTTGAATTTAAGGTTCTTGACTCATACACACAGAACACACACACACACACACACGGCTACAAGTCCAAAAACAGCAAAAGTCCTATGTGCTGCAGATAGGCGCGCTCCTGCGCCTGATGGAATGGAAGGGGTTGTCTTTCATCAAAACACATTAGAGGCTTTATCTACTGCAGGTAGGCACGCTTCTCCGCCTGCTGGAGTGGAAGGGGTTGTCTTTCATCAAGATACAGCAGAGGCCCTATCTGCAGCAGATAGGCGCGTTTCTCCGCCTGCTGGAGGTTGTCTTTCATCAAGACACAGCAGAGGCCCTATCTGCAGCAGACAGGCCTAGAAGAATCGAGCCCAGGACCTGCGACTGAAAGGCACGCTTTATCCATTAGGCTAAAGGACCTCTTGTGGTAGAGCAGCCGCGTGCTTTTTAAAAGATTCTTTACTGCACCTTTGCTTCTCTTTGAGCAAGCGACACCAAAAGCCCTATCTGCAGCAGATAGGCGCGCTCCGCTTTCTGCTGCGTTGGAAGGGGTGGTCCCAATCAACGCGCAGCAAAAGCCCTATCTGCAGCAGATAGGCGCGTTTTCTCCGTCTGCTGGCGTGGGCGTTTGTTGTTCATCAAGACATAGTAGAAGCCCTATCTGCAGCAGATAGGCGCGTTTCCATCTTCTGCTGGAGTGGAAGGGGCGCCTTTTCATCAAAACGCGAAAAGCCCTATCTGCAGCAGATAGGCACGTTCCTGCATCTGCTGGGGTGGAAGGGGTGGTTTTCTTAAGAGATGCCACAAGGCCCATCTGCACCAAGTGGGTCCAACTCAAACCAAAGAACAGCGGAAGCCCTAGCCTAACGGAGTTCAATTGCCAAGCGACCCGATGAAAACCAACCACGAAACTCCAGCCTTGTCAAAGGGCGTTGCTGACAATGCAGTGTTTTTGCGTGCGCGTGTATCCACGTGGTCCATTGTTGGTTCCGACCCGACATCACTTAATTTCGTATTTCCGACGACGTCTCTTAATTCCATTTCCAAATTAACGAAAATAAGCGACGACCCGCGAAATACTATAATTCACCCAGATAGATGTTGATATCTACTGTAAACGTGGAGATTTGCATTTAGATCTACATGTTTTTGCAAATATGCGTTGTTTGCTTTGGAAGGTGAACATGAGAATACACTATTTCTAAGCACTTGAATGATTTTAATCCTCGATACTTTGAGCTTGCTTTGATGTTTGTGCAAACCTGTTCATGTTCTCTTTGAAGTGTGTGTTTGGAGAAGACATTCATGGCACCCAAGTTCTTAATCTCAGCTTCGGTCGAGCCTGTCGCGTCCGAGGTATCCGGAAGAGATTCAAACATTGCTCACAGCGGATACCGGAGGCGGTGCTAAAAGAAGCGGCCGGTGTTCCTCTTTGCGCAAAGGTGTTTTCTGTCTTCGAAAGAAAAAACAACCATTTTTTTGTTGCCCCACCCGTCGGCCAATCACTTTTTGGCTAAATGGGGGAACATGTTATTGTATGTGCGGTTCTTCTACACCTTCAGTACTCCGGGTAGGAGCCACCACCTAAGGCACCTAAGGCGAACTTTGCTCAGCCTGTACTTGATGTTTGGAGAATTTTGCTAAGTCCAAGATTGGTGTTTGGTCCTTGTTTATGTCGGTTTTCAGTTGGCGTAGTTTACCAGTTTTTTTTTCCCGGATGGATGACCTTTTTCAGGGCCAAGTTCGGCATATTCACCACCGCTTCCTTGCAAGCTTGCTTGCCTCCGTCTCCGACGTATCCGTTTGTGAACATCCTTGGTTGATGAATGTTGTTCTGGCGGGTGTGGTAAACATCCTCATGGATTCACGCATGTTTGATTCATTCTCCTTCAAATCAAGTGAAGATCATTGATCGGCCCATTCATTTCCCCGTCCTCGAATACCTTTGTAGAACATGGTCAACAACGCCGGATGGCGATATATTGGGATTAGATTGAGCTGGGACAGAAATATTGGAATACGTAGGATCCCCAAATATTTCGAAAGGTGTCCACATCTGCAGGGGGGGTCACTCGGTCACTGTATTCAGTGATCACCACAGAAAGATGGAAATGTGTGAAACCATGAGGGGCGAGCTCGTTTCGTCGGTTCTGAGGCCGTCAGAAGGACAAGACTGATGAGAGAGCAGCAGGGGTCTTGGTGGGACCTTTTCTTTGTGTATGGACAGGAGGGTAGCAGGGTAGCAACTCGTGTGGATAGCAGGGTAGCAACTTGTGTGCACATGTGTGCACCGTATTTACATATTTGCGAGGGACCTCCTAGGCAGGGCATCCTGAATATAATTGAATATACATCGCTGCCGGTCAGACGCTCCATTTGATGCGCCAAAAAACTTGTTCGTTGTGGGTCTCAATTTGACGCTCTCTCCCCAAGGTACACGTGGATTCTTTTTCGGCCATGCTATCATGTCATGCACAACTTTTGGGTCAAAAACCACCAATCTCAATGGAAAAGTGGCCTCCACCCCCGTCCACCGCGTTCGACGGCCTTCCACCTCCGTCCGTTCGTTGAGGCCTTGGCCAGGACTCGACGGCTGCTGCTGGGTGATGAGCCCGAAGAGGACAAGGAGGAGGAGGGTCCAGGCAGGGTACCTCCCGGTGTGTAGAGTGACAGGTGCGATGGGTGCGATGGGTGGGTTTTTGTGGCTATGGTTTGTATTTGGTTGTCATTAAGGATATGTTGCACCTTTAAACATATGTGTGTAACATAATAATTTATGCAATGTTACTAGTTTCAGACAACACTTTCAATCATGCATCTGAAACGCCAGTTGATTTGGTACAGTATTGTGTACTGTAGAGGTTTTGAGACATGACCGGACAAACAAAACAAGCCTTCAGACTTCACTTCTTCTTGTCGATCGAAGTCAACGCAGGATCGATCCGAGATCCGGCCAAAGGAGACGGCTGCGCTCCAGTTTTCGGGTTCTTCGGGTCTAGACTTCATCCACCGGGTTCGAGGGTTTGGAAGTGTCTCCAAATGTTGGATGTTTTGGGAATTGAGACCCAGGTGCAGTCTATCGCGGAGCGCGGGGTGTGATCGGCGAAGGCCGCATCGGGAGAGGGGAGAAGGAGAAATGAGGGGGATGCAGCGGTAGGTGTCGGGAACATGTGCAACAGGCAGAGTGACTAACACGAGAAACGTTGGAACACCGATTTGTAGAGAAAGAGCTTGGATTATTGTATTTACAATAAGTTAGTATAGTCATTCCAAAGGCCATGCCATGCATTTCCATGGTTCAAAGTGGATCGGATTAACAAGCGCAGAACAACTGAACGAAACTCGTAATGTTCGGTGTTCTCCTGTTGGAATGATCCTCGTGGTGCAGAATAAGAAGAAGGATGCGTATTGTATATCATAGATAGTGTATTCAATTATGCGGAGAGTCTAGTTTGCTGTGAGGATGCTATTGACTGATGGAGGAAAGCTTGCTTGGTGTTCCGCTGATACTACAGAAGGATTGCATGGGGGTTAGTGGTTTCCTTCAATGGCCTGGGAGCCTGGGTGCGCCTAGCTTGTGTTGCTTGTGATTGAATCAAGTGAGATTCTGATAGTAGAACAATGTTGAACTCCAAAAGCTCATATGACTCAGGTGGGCTCAAGAAAACCCCTCGTGCTGAGAGAAACAACAAACAACATTGACACTCTTGTACCAACAACAGCTTTGGTCGGCGTGGGCGAAAATCGCACGACGGAGCAGTTTTGGACGGGTCCATCGCCACGACCCTTCGATCGATGCCTTCGATGCCTATCCACGAAGGGGCCCATGAATGAGTGAATGTGAATGGAGTGTGCCTGGTGCCATCCTTTTTCGAGGGAACGAGGATTGACACAAGTAGCCACACAACCCGAAAAACAAAGGTCCTGGGTCCTGGTCGATCTCTCCAAAGGTCCCATTGGCCCCCCCCGTGGATGTAGGTGACCGTCAGCGCCAGTATCGACTAGCGCACGCCTCGGAGCTCCGCAAGTTAGGCGACTGGCGAGTGTGGACCCAGCTATATAAACTATAGACTCGTTTTGTGGGAGTGGTTCAAAACTGATGCTCACATGAAAGCATCAGAGAACGAACATGGTGCTCACTAGACATCTTTACTGTACTGTAAATAAATATTGTGGTATTTCTTGTTATGTTTAAATGAGATCTGCAGAGGTGGACAGAAGTCAGCTTATGTTTGAGGGAAGCCGCACTTGTTTTTCTCTTGTGACTCTTGTGGACGTCTATGTAGTTTGTCAGGAAGTTCCTGGTTGAAGCCATGTATTTCTTGAAGAGTATCTTGACAATCCTGAATCCTGAACGTGTCTTTCTCAGTTCAAATTGGTGATTTCATTCATTTCAATAGGCTGAAGGATCTTTGATGTTTCTGTGTCGATATTTCCCAGTCAGACGGTCTCAGCATGAACGCCAACGCCAACGCCACCACTGAGGATACCGATGAGCCCGAGACCGCCGAAGCCTTGAGCAAGTCGGGCGATCCCAGGGCGAACGTTTGTCAAGAGACGTAAATCCACGTGGACAGCTACATATATATTATTATGTTTATATCAAACCATGTGTACAATATATATATATGTATATACATTCAGATCTTAGACTATTTGCTGTAGAAAATCACTGTTGCATGCTTTTAAGGCCAATTGCTTGTGTGCATATCGCAACAAGCATGTGTATATATATGTATGTATCAGTTGGAACTTGTAATTGATCTACATTCAGTTGCATCTCATACTGCGTGTGCGCCTGAGGCTGGCACGGGACGTCCGCCAAGCGGACTTGTCCGCCAAGACCCGCAGCATGGCCTTCCAATCCAAGTGACTCGGGCGATGGACTTCCTGAAACATCGACGATAACGGTCAGTTGGGAGACAGACAGGTCTGAAACATCGACCTATTTCGCAAGGCAACTGTCGTTTCAGATGACTTTGGTACAGGAATTCATCAGCTACAACATAATTACATATAAGATATTAGTGTTGTTTTTCTTTGATTTCCTTGACTCCTTAGTGATTTGTCTCGCGTGTTGGCAGGTTTCTTACCCACGACTTGGACATGGCCGACTTGTTCAAAGAGCGTGCCTTGGGCCAGTGGCCAGCGATGAATCCGAGCGATGAATTTGGGATGATTTGGGTGTTTCTTATCATTTCACATCTAGGCATCGCGGCATCGCGTATTCAAGAATCTAGGCAAGTGCAAACTGGACACGAAACAAATTGTTCATGTATATATGTGGGTAGAGATCATCATGCACAATGCACCCCCAATTAAAAACTGAACTGCGATGCACCAGTCCGGCCGGCAGCCCACCGGTGTGGCCGTGTTCGGGCGGTCTCGGTTCGTCGGACGGCGACCGTTGAGCAATTGGCGACGGTTGACTGCGGGGAGGTGGACATTTCCCTCATGATAGGGTGAATCATGGTGAATTCCTTGGAATTCCGAATTCATATGCCCTAGATTGCCCTAGGGCTCCAAGTGCCTAGGGCATGTTATTTGGACCCTTCCCAAAAAGATGCCCAACACCTTGGCCTCTTTCAGGTACTTAGAACATCTTTTTCTGCCCGACAAAAATAGATGTTGATCATTCCCATCCATCATGTTTCAAGATCTTTCTTGTCACCGTCAATGGGTGAAGTCACCAGGGAGACGTCTTCTTTCTCCGGTGCCGCGGCCTCTGTCGTCGACGTCTCCGGTCGCGGCGGGTCTGTCGGATCGGACGAATCACCTTTTTTCGCCGGGTGCTTCGGGACGCACAAGGGCGGAGGCGATGCCAAAACACATTGGAACTAGATGGCATCATGGTGCATTATGGTTCCATAGGTCAGGGAGAAAAGAAACGCATGATGGCTCTGTTTAGCACGAAAATGGACGAAGACCTAGTCTAGTGTTCACAGGGGTGTTGCACTATTGCTTGCAGCCGGAAGTGTCAGGATATGGTGGTCCAGGTGGATAGCTTGTAACACATACTTGCCAGATTCATTTGGGCCTCGGGCCAACGGAGCCCTAGTACTGTACCAGGTTTGAGACTGCCGCTGGACATCACAGATCTTCCTTTGGAGGAAGAAAGGAGATTGGTGAATGGGATGGATGGGTCTGGAGATCAGAGTGGGCTAAAAATAAAGGCTACGACATTCGGAATGGGCTCGGTGACCGTTGTGAAGACGATGCCATGCTACCATTGTTTACTTTGCAGCATGCAGCCTGCAGACAGCTGTTGTATGAGCTCCTTTTCTCTTGGCTCCGTCCCGCTCTTTCTCGAACCCGGTGACGGAACCGTTCGAAGCGCCAGGAGTTCGGAACTCCGGCGCTTTCGCATCAAGAAAAAGCGGGCCCATGACAATGACCAGCTGAGCTTTGTGTCCCCCGGGCAGAGAAGGCGTGTATATCGGGAGGGTGGAATTGGCAGAAGGACACTCAGATGGGTCAGCTAAGACTCCGAACACCCAGCGGTGCGAGATGTTTCAAAGCAGCCGGAGCGCTTGTTTATCCTTTATTTTTTACTCAAGCCAGGATGTGTCCTCGCTTTGCCTCCAAGTACTTGTTTCAACCATAATGCTGCTGGCTGCTTTTGGTGACCTCGTTATGGTTTCTATTGGTCCCTTTTGTTAGACTTTCCTTTGGGGGGAGGTGCAGGTCTAGCACTGGCAGCATGTTTCGCAGGTGCTGAAGGCGTTTGAATCAGACAGCCGCACTTAGGCCCGATCCATCGCGCGTGCAGCTTGCGCAGGCAACACTTGAAGGAGATCGAGAGGGCTGTCCTCAAAACATCAGATGAAGAGGTTGGCAGCCGGTGAGTTGGATGGACATGACTTTGTTGAGAGGAGAGCCCTGAAGAATTGGAGAGCCCTTCAAGCACTCCAGATAATGTGCTTGAAAGATGCCGTGTTTTTTTGGACTTCAAGCCACGAAGACCCAGTACTCCTCTCCTGTTTCTCGCTGAGGATGGCAGAGACAAGTTTAAGGATCCATCGTTTGGTCTTACCATGAAAGCTGACCATTGAAGATGTGGACTAGTGACTAGTCGGACTGAACATTTAAGACATAGCAGCATTTGACCTGCCACAGGTAGTTCAGGAAAGCAGATAAAAGGAAATAACTCGACACGAATTGAATTCTTGCAAGTGAATCATTCTATTGAATGGTTGCAATTGCTAGGTTTGCCAGAACTATATAGGTGCCAGAACTCGTTGACCGCTCCTTAGGCAATGACTCGACCGCATACTTAAAGCAACGACCGCTCAGACAGGCTTCGCGTTGGGAGACCGGAGGCGATGCTGATTGAGCAGTGCCCGTGCAGGAGCCATGCTTGCTATGCTGAAAAGCAGTGGCAAGATGTGTGGCAAAAGCAGAAGACTTTACATTGACTCCAAGTTCCGCAAGTTTGATGTGCCTTTCTTGTGCAGGGCTAGGAGCTCAGAAAGGACCGTGCTTTTGGTCGACGCAGATACACACTGCATTGAAGATATCAAACACGTGCTGAGTCGTTTAAGAGATGAGGGTGGCGCAGTTGAGACAAGGCTTTTCGGTCCACCTGCCCGAGTGACAAACAAGAAGTGGAGCCAACTTCTCCAGGAGCCTGATATCACATTCCGACCAGTGTTGCGTTCAGAGAATCCTTCCAAAGAGCCCAACGATGAAGCAATTGTCTCAGCAATGCAACGCCTTTTTTTCAAGCAGTGGAGTAGATAGGATTGCATTGCTGACCTCAGATGGCGATTTTGTCAGCACCATTCTCAAACTCAAGGACATCAACTCTGTCAACGTTGTGATGTTCATTCCAGCGCAAAAACCTGGCGTTATTCGCAAGTATAGAAAGGACGGATTAGAGGTTGTGAAAATCCTCAGCAAAGATCCTGGACCCCGAGTGCGTGCTATCCTTCATGGTGATGGAACTGGCTCAGCGCAACTTGAAGATCCTTTTGGCCTGAGGATGGATATTACGAGCGGGAGGTGGAGATGTTGAGTGGCTTCCTGACAGACTTGGGGTAGCAACCTGTGCCAAGTTTTGGTTTACCAACAGCCTGGGTGCACTCACCGTGTTTCCGGGTCCGCTAGCAATACTTGCTGTGCATGACGTCATCGTCTGCTCCTCAAAGAAAAAACACTCTTGGGTACCATACAGCAGAGAGTTGGCCTTTGTCCTGCCCATATTTCCACGGCGGGGGAGCAGCAGCAGCAAGACAACTCTCAAAACTTACGGAAGCAGTAGGGCAAAATCCATTTTCAAGGGTGGTGGACCTTTCATGTTGACAGATTCCAAAGATTTGACCATGCATGTCCTCAGGAAGCTTGGATATTTTGACGACTTGAATGCTGATGAACACGAGGCGTTGTTCTGTTTCACCAATGCCATGGGCAACAAGCATACCTTGAGGAAGATGGACCTGCTGCCTCATCCAGCAGACCGCAGTCAGGATGTAAGAGAGAAGTTGCGAGCCGCATTTCTCTCTCACGCATTCTCAGGCCAATGGCAAGTTGTCCACATGGATGACAATGCCATAATGTTTGTGCAGCAAATTTTGTGGAAGGAAGGCCTTCTCACCGAATCACAACTCACTTGTACACAGTATGAACTTATTAGACCCATGAAGGCCTATGCAAAGAAGTATGGGCTAAGACTCATGGAATCCTTCAATGCGCTTGCATTTCAAATTCAACACCACAGTAATCAAAATCCAGACAAGAGACCCATGATAGACTTTGAAAGATGATACCGGTTCCTCTGGGCAAAACGCGCGAGTTCAGAAAGGGATGAGTTTCAAGGTTGCAATCGGCACAGTTGGCATAGTCAGCGGACCTTTTGTTCAGGTTGTGGAGAGTGCTCCATGTTTTACATCAGTTGCGCCAGGGATGGAGGACAAAAGTGATTTGGGATGGAGGTCAGTAGTCTCACGGTATGGAGCAAACATTTTGACCGGTAGGCTGACAAAACCTCAACGAAGGTTTTGTTTGTGTCCTTCCGACCATTTCCATCCATTATGTTCAAGTTTGGATTTGTTCTGAATTTCAGAGTTTGGTGTTGCTTCTAACTTGTTATATCATATGTCCCATCCCTTGTTGACAGAACCCTCCCTCTGATACTGCAGACGGAGAACCTGGTTCACCGGCTCCCAATCCTACGATCAGATCGTCCTTATTCCCCAAAGACAGGGCATCTTGAGGCTGAGAAAGAATAGGGGATTAGTTATTCTCCCTGGAACTAACATAGAAGTTCTTAGAAATGGATGGCACATGATGGCACCACCTATTGGTCGTGGATTTCATGGTCTTCCTTACGGGGCCATGCAATCCACTTCCATGTTTAGCTATAGGGAGTGTAGATATTGGGAAGAGGTGGCCGAAAATCTCACAACAAACGAACCGGCCGGAACCTTCCACCGAGTTCTCGACTGAACCAACCGGCAACTCACACCGGCAACTCAGGGATTCCAACGGACGCGAACGGATCGGCACCAAGCGAACGCACGGAACCACCTTGTTGTCTAGGACCTCTGGGTAGGGTGGTAGCTGCCAAGCTACCAGACAACCCTCCTAGTAGGTTCCTTTTCGCACCAAACCGGCACGACGTCGCGCCGTTCCTGCTGCGTGCGGGGTGTTCTCGCCCAGGCCGTCCGGTCGGCCCGCTTCCGGGACCGGGCGCCACGCAGGCGCGTGCGTTTTTGGGCGCGTTTGGAATGGTCAACGGATGGGTGAACATGTGGTGAAATGAGCAGAACAAGGGGAAAGAGAACGGAAGACGCTAGACACCAGATCAAGATCGAACACATGTCAGATCCACCGGATCTTTGGCCCCAACACACTTGGCCCCAACACACGTGAAATCTGAAATCTTCCGCCAATGATGGCGAATCGAAGTGATGCAGCGATGGGAAGGCCAGGCTTCAACTCTGGGGGACCTGAATGGACCTGAGGCACTCTATTGGTTTCTCTGCATAATTCCAATCCAACCGAGGTACTTTTCCAACGAGTCGGGTTTTCCCTTCCCGACTGGTCGAACCGGCGGTTTTTTGGTCGTTTGGTCGAACCGAGCGTCCCGCGTCTCGTTCCGAGGTGCATCGTGGCGGCGTTACCTGGAGCTTCGATGCTGTTGGAAGATCTGCAGATGGGACTAGGCCAAGACTTGGGCGGTTTCGCCATTGGGGTGGCCCATTTGGGAGGCTACTGGCCCAGCGACGCCAAATGTTCCAGGACCGGACCTAGATGACCTTGGTGTTTAGGGACCATTCCGACGACTTATTGAATGAATGGTTGAGGCTAAAGGGACAAGTTCTGCATCGCTACTCGTAACGATCAGATCTCTCACGCGGAGATGTCGCTGGATCTTCTTGAGACCACGAGAACCTCTTCTGAGCGACCCGTCCGACTGGACTCCAAGTGCCACGGTTGGATCCTAAATGATCTACTCTACTACCTATAGAATCAACTACTCGAGTCCTAGATCTTTCTATAGGCAGTTCTTGAGTTCTAGATTCTAAAGCAGATAGTAAGATATTTAGTAAGTATATCGTGTTCGGAGATTGTGGATAGAAGCAATTGCGCAATTAATTTCCAAAAGGCTTCCCCGGTATAATATTAGATCTACTGTATTTCTGGCATTTGCACCGAAACTACACTCAACACGAGCCTTTCCTGAATCTCCTTATTTCCGGCAGCGGCAGGGGCAGCTTTTGTAGGACATAGGTTCATATCATGTCCTGCAAAAGACCTTGCCCTGAACAGACCTTGCTGTAGATTCAGATTCAGAAGGAATTCGAGGCATTTGCACCCCTTTGGGGGGGATGTGTATCCATGCAAATTTGGACATTCACAAAAGGCAAAAGGTTCAGAGGAAGTTTATTCCAAAACATTTGACTGAGCGGAGGTACAACTTTCTAAATATGCAGAGCCAGTCCATTGCTCGAGCAATGCTCTGATGGGTGTAGCACTGTTGCAATTTTTGCAAGATGTGGAAAGGAGACGAAAGATAGTCTATACATATATATATATATACTGCATATACAATAATATAATATAAGTTATGATATAACAATATGATAGACATGAGGAAACCACACAGACAGCATCAGACAGCAGGGACTGCAAGGCGCTTTGGCCTTCGTTCCCGTGGTCACACTCGGATTTGGGGGTGGGTTTGGAAGGTCACAGTGATTTGATGGTAGTGCACTGCAACAACACCTCCCTCAGCACCGTGGCCTTCTTTGAAGCCTTCCGGTCTCTCTTTCTCGAGCGAATGCCGAGTTGCTACCCGACACGCGGATGCCACCCGATCAGCGCCAGGTGCAGCAGCCTCAAACAGAAACTCGACCTCCACTTGGTCGAGCTCTAACAGCTGATGGAGACCTGCCACAGATTACCCAATTAATGAATGGATAACCTTTAACATCATCCTTGAACCTTTTTGGGGGATGGGTGAACCCCCCATGACAGAAAAAGGCTCAATTCCGTTATTTTCCAGGCAAACCAAGGGGGTAAGATCGGATGGTCGAGTGTGTTCGTACAGCTTCGGGCGGACGGACTGCTGTGGACTCTTTGTCCGTGAAATTTCGGTGCAACACTCGAGATATTAATAAGCTACTAGGAACAAGTGCATCGCTACTAGTAACAAGTGCCTTACTAGCAGTAACAAGAAGCTATTAGAATTATATAAGTTTAATTAGAATTAAAATTAATCATATTTGTTTTCGGTGCAACACTCGAGAATGATCACACCGTTGAGTCATATTCGTGAGATTCGTTGAGTCAGGCCGCATGGCTCTCCAATCCTGGACACACACACAAACACATATACTGCAACATTGTTTCATGTTTGACCTTCCCACATCGCGATGAACAAGAGGTGTATCCTATTGTTTGTGCCAGCTTAACATGTTCGTTCTTGTTCCCTTGAATCGCACATTGTTGATGATCTAGGTACAGTCTCAGTCAGCATCCATCGGTTTGAGTATCGATCTCTCTATATATATACATATACATGTTCAAATAGAATCACATGTTCAATAACCACAGAAAGATCATCCAATTGCATCCATTTCCCAAATACATGGAGTTATAAGTTATGGGCGTGAGATATATAGATCAAGGAGCTACGATTCATGAATTAAGACTTTTATTGGTCTTTGCTCTCCATTAGAAGCCCTGACGGGAAATCTACTTTTCGACCAACCCGACAATGGGACGACCAGCCCTTCGGTCGGTGCCCGGAAGTTCGGACATATAAGCGTTACCCGGAGTCTCAGCATGCTTGGCTTGAACAAATTTATCACATGTGTCATTATGCATATGTTGTGAACGGTCCTCGGTCCTTTCAACTATCCCAAAGATCCAGGTGGTATGACCAGGAAAGACACCTCCTTTACCAGGGAGATTGCTTCCGATACTTTGGATATCTTTGGCGGGGTGGACATGGAGACACTGACGGGGCCCCCGTACATTCAATCCAATGTCAGCTCAAGCTTCTGAAGATTGAGCTACAAACTTCCAGACTTCGAAGTGGTATCACAGAAGGACAGAAGGAAGTTTTTTCTCCACCTTTTCCGCTCCACGGTGGTACAGATGCACCGAACTCATGTCCATGCGGGACTGGCTTTATCTCCATCAGTCCAGACACTGGTCCCCCACGAAGGTGGGACTCGAACCGGCTCTTTTTGTTCTCGTGGGAAGGATGAAGGTCCAGTGGCTGTCCCAGCTGCACTGAGTTTGGATGCTAGAGCCAAGAGCCAGATTACAAATATCCCCCAGTTGCAAGGGGGGCCCAGGCTGCTATAGACATTCATATTTTCTTGGTTGCTGCTCCCACGATGAGTGAAGATAGGACTCTACAATCCTCACGAGTGTAGGTTGGTGCATAAATCATCCCTGAAAGGATGGAGTTTTCATCACAAAAAGCTGCAACACTTGACTATATAGATGTCAGAGTCGACCCTGGTATTTGCAGCTGTGGACTGGGTCCCAGATTGGATACTGGGATTTGGTCCGGCCAGAAAGTTCTTGAGCCTCCTGTCTTTTGACCACGCTCAGAGGGAAATGGATTCAGGTGGCAGCAAATGGTTCCTAATCAATATTTAATCTATACCTACTACTGATTACTACTGTATTATAACAAGAAAATGATGACGCAGCATCTAATTTTTTAAGTACCCGAGAATATCATCCATAAAAGTACCATCATGTTTATGGATTTGTCTACCTCAGTTGGGATCTCTTTTGGACTTGGGCTTTCTAGATGAGTTTGGATGTCTTACGGGCGGGCAGTTGCAGGCGTGAATGAAAAAAGTGCAGAGTAGCTGATCAACATGGCAGACTTGTTTGCCTTTTACTCTTAGGTTGGAGGCCATCGCTATTAGTATTTCATCCTTCCCACTGACATTAACGCAAATGCACGACATCATGTTGCGGCCAAAAAGGAAGTCTGCGTGCAAATATGTCAGGATCAAGTTCGGATTGCAGTTTGCCCGGTCAGTTCCACTCCCGGCACGGTCAGTTCCACCACTTCCCCTGGGCTGCGGATGAACCAGGCCGTGGGACTGATTAGCCCACTCGATGTACGTGGTTTTACCTGCAAATGATTGAGTCTCCCTCTTTGGACATAATCAAAGATGTGCGGAAGATGTCGCAGGCTTTGAAGCACTTTTGCAGACCTTTTCGGCTCTATCCAACAAAAGC